ACGTTACTTTGCACACGTGACGCCTTGTGTACCTCCCCCAAATGAGGGGTCTCACTCGAACGCAGCCGCTTTTTAGGGGGTACGTTGTGTGGGCCGGATTGTTGTGATACCTCCCCCGTGCAATATAACCACAGAGTGGTGTTACGTATTTATCCTTCCATCCTTTCCTCCTTTTTTTTCTTCCCTTTTTTTTTCCTTTTTTCTTTTTCGTCTGCCCGTTATCGCGACGTGCATGTTTACTCCTCAAAAGTGATGACTCACCCAATGGTTAAGAGAATTAAAAATAGCTAGCTGGATAAATCGCTAAACAGTGTGGCAAATAAGCGGAAAAATCGAAAGGCTCATCAGATATGGTCCTCAAAGAAGGGGTTATGTTTTGTCGAAACTTGAGCTAGGGGGGTCCACATGTTACCGTTTTTTATATGTCCCCTGGAAATGCAGGTAACGCCTCTTCCTTTGTGGATACATAAATGCAGCGAAATGTGCACGTGACTGTTCGGTCCTCCCTCGCACAGCAATTCCCGGCATGGCCAACTTGGACGTATTGAATGTACCCACATAGGGGGAAGCCCTCCCCCGCATCCCCTTTCGAAGCAACTACTTTTTTTGTGTCACGTGCAATTTAAGAGCGCACCGTTTGGAGTCGATTCGGCAATGTCGTTAGGAACGTGTACCGCATGTTCCCCTGTTCAGTTCAAATGCTCAGTCCACCTGTTGGCCTTTTTTTTTTTTTTTTTCTTCTGATTCTCCCTCGAAGGTAAAAGCACAAAAAGGGGCATTACCAAATGTGTATGGGGAAGAATGCCAACTCGAATAACCTCCACCCCACTTGCAGTTTTGTTGCGCTGCGATTTTGTCCCCCCTCCCCCCGCCTCGCCTAAGGCTCCAAAAGGTGTCTCTACAGTTATAGAGGGGGAAATGCCAATTTCACCATCAACGTTATGAGCAAATGGGATTAGATCACCAAGCTGGAAAGGAAAAAAAAAAAAAAAAAAAAAAAAAAAAAAACCAAAGGAAATAAAATGGGGGGCCTTAATTTCCATGGGTGAGAAAAAAAAAAAAAAAAAAAAAAAGAAAAAATGAGGAAGGTCATTAACTGGTGTGCCTTCATCATCCTGGGTGAGAAAATAAGATAAAAAAATGAAAAAATAAAAAGCGGCCATTTTGTTTTTTTTTTGCAAATTTGTTTAATGTCGTACCGAAGGAGAGTGACTCCTTCGGCTCATCTGTTGTTAGCATGCTGGTGAAGGGGTCAACCGTTTGCTTTGGCACCCCCCAGCTGCGCTGTCCGGGGCCTACTATATGTTCCTGACCTCATCATACTGTCTCCACCCGACAGGCACGTCCGTCCCGCTGGGCCTCTCCGCCCTTAGTCTCTGGTACCTCAATGTAGACAAAGAGAAGAACCAAGTGCACTCCTATAACAATGAGTACCGGCGGAAGCAGAGGGAACTGCTCAAGTCGCAGCAGGGGGAGAGAAGCTGACACGCCGACATGCTGATACGATGACACGCCGACATGCTGACACGATGACACGCTGGTGGAGTGAACTTCTTACAGTGGAGAATCATCTTCTTTGTGTTGCCACTCTGGTGTGGTGGACTCCCACTCGTTACCACGATGAAGTTTTTTTTTTTTTTTTTTTTAATTCTACATGTGTGTGTTGCAATCCCCCCCGGGAGGTTTTCTTACCACGAAGTTGCCATTAACCAGAACGTTCTTAAATTAGGGGCGCTCCAAAAGAAGCGATTGAGAAGGAGATAGCCATGCGGGCTATGCGAGTGAGTATCTTCGCCTTCGTGGTCACAAATCTGTGCGCACAGTTCTGCGCAGCGATGAAGTGTAACGGTTTTGAACGCCCAGCTGACGCGCAGTTACGCGATCATTCGATGATGCAGCCATGCAATGATGGGAAAAAAAAAAAACTTAGCCACGCCGGGGGATCCGCAGCACAAACAAAACGAGTTTACACACAGGGACGTATAGGACATCTGCATATAGCCACTTGGGCAGGTATGTACTCATGCAGTTATGTACTAAAGTCCTCTTGTCCTGATGCACTTATCTGCTCATCCGCTCATCCCATCGTTCAATCGCCCCCCCTTGTGCGTGTCTCACCCCCGAGGCCGGCCAAGCAACTCCTTAATCTCGTCGTACCGAATCCTCCCCTGGTCCCTTTTGGCAAACCCCAGTTTTTTAATTTTACGAGAAAAACCGTTGAGCAGTCCAGACTGTCTGTAGGAGTTTCGGATGGCCTGATCGATCTGATTTTGTATTTCTCCATCGAGGGAGCGTACCCCCTTGGGCGACACGATACTGGGAAGAACCAGGTCGGGTGACATCACACTCGGAAGAATCACGTTAAGACTTCTTTTCTCTTTCCCACCGCCACCCATTTTGAACTGCCTCTTCTGTGCTTCCTTCTCAGTTGCCCTTTCCCGAGCCGCCTCCATCTTCTTTGCCGCGGAAAAGAGGTCTTCCCCATCGACCGCTTCGTCGGGGTCATCCATTGGCATTCCGTTTGCCATGTCGTTTTCCATGCCGCTTATGAACTGTGGAGACGTGTTCCCTTCGCCTTGCCTTCCCGTGTCCGCAACGCTCTCCAGCATCTGTTCCTCCTCCAAGGAGTCTTTTTCCCCGTGTGACTCCCTTCCCATCTGTGACTTCCTCTCCTCCTCCTCTGCTCTCAACTCGTGCATTTTTTTTTGCTTAAAAAATTCTTTCTTCTTTTGCGTATATCTATTTTTTTCCCGCATGCGTATCCTGCCTCGCAGTGACTCCTGCTGCTCCGCCGCTTCTAGCTCCGCCGCTTCTGGTTCTGGCGCTTCTGATTCTGCCGCTTCTGGCTCTTCCCCGTGCAGTCGCCCCTGCTGCGCAGATCGGCGCTTCTTCCTCATGCCGTCCCGTTTCATCAATTCTCCCGTGATGGCCTCCGATGAAGTGTCTCCCTCCGTGGAGACATAATGATTAGCCGGAGATATGGATCTCTCTCTAGGCTCAATGGCAGAAGAGCTTCCCATATGCAAGAGGTTGTTTTTTTCTTCTTGACGGTCCACCCTATGGTGTGTCTCGATCCTGCTAAACCCACTTCTTCGTGATTGGCCGCCCTCCTGCTCAAGGATGACCCGCGAGGAGACCACCTCCCACCAGGCATACTTCTTCCCCTGTGGAGAAAAGCGGTAGACGTCACTGGAGATGGTCAAATGGATGGGACGATACTTGGATGGGTCCTTCCCAGACGGCGTTACAAAAGACGGGGTCCTATACAACAGAGAAATGATCCCTTCATCGTTGGCAGCGAGTTTTTTTAAAAATCTCCGAAACCAAGGCGTCTGTAAAATGGTCTCGTCATCACTGTAACTAAGTTGGCTGAATAGCCAATCCAGTCTATCCACATATAAGACGGGGAGAAAGCCATAAACAAATCTGAACTGGCTACACAGCCTTTTCTCTACATTGTCCGGCTTGCAGTTAAATTCATAGTTATCCCACTGAGAGTGGAGTTGTTCTCCCGGGGATCTCATCATAGAAGAGACATCCGATGGACGGCTAGCCATCACAGTGATCTCTCGTCTGATTGTATTGATTCGTCCAAAGGATCCATACACATTCATCTGCTGGAAGTTACCGTACTCTCCATTCATCACCTGCAGTGGAGACAGAACATTCTGCACGAAGAAGCAAAGGAAGTACAAAAAGAGGACAAAGTAGAAATACTGAGACAGGCATTTTACCACAAACCTTTGATTTCTTAAGTGAGACACAGAAAGGGAGAGTAAACAAAACAAGTGCAAGAAGAATAGAGACGAGAAATACACATCTGAAAATCCATGAAGGAAGATGTAATTCGTGTAGATTAGCGAAACACTTAGGAGGAGTCCCACCTGACCAACAAAACATGGGAAAACATTTTTTGTAAAAAAAAAAAGATAAACCATGTATAGCAGGAAAGAACCCACATAGATAAAAAATAACAAAATGGATACTCTCGTAGAGTACGTAATGTAGACACAGCTGTTGTAGAGGATCATGATGGAGACACAAAACACATGGATGATTAGCTCTCTTGAGATGTTATAATTTGTCAGTATATATTGTGGCCCCTTCTTTGAAAAAACCCAGTGAAGAGCATTAAGGAGATCCTTTCTGATACTCTCCATGGGATTTTGCTCTGAGTAGAAATTCGTTTCGTGGCTAGAGCTCCCCCGTCTAAGCAGATGCTCCGTCTCTGGTTTTGGCGGCACTCCTCGATTCCAAGTGCTTCTCCCATCCAAGGGGCCTCTACCATTGAAGCCGCTTCCTTCCCCCTCTGAGTCGATCCTAAAATATGCATCTCTCATCTTGTTCACTTCATCCACACTGAACCCCGTACAGAAGAGAACATCGAAGCTTTGAAAGTACCCCCTGCTCTTGGCGATCTGCGCCGCCTTCTCCCTCACCACAGACAACACTTCATTCCTCTTCCCCTTTAAAACAAAAGGAAGCAGCACCTCATCATCGAAACAAAACATCAAAGGAGCTAACAGAAGAACATAAAACAGGTACGAATTACCCGTGGCGAAATTTAAGACGCAGTAGAGAAGGATCAACACACCCCCTATTAGCCGAAACGACCTTACAGGGAAAAGAATCAAAAAAGAGAAGACACACTCAGTTAGGATGCAAAACAGATTATCCAGTTTGCTCAGAGTCACATTCCCATGAAAAATATATCCAATGATGGATGGCAAAGGTTGCGTCTCGTACAGGTAATACTTTCCCTCCAGGTGCCCCCACAATTCTGTATTCCTAAATCGTATTAAGCTGCACCCTAACAATACCTTGAAGACGAAGAAGCGACATGCGTACCTTACAAACGGGGTAGTAGAAAATCGACACTTGAGATGATTCCTACACAGCGGCACCAAAAGGAGAGTCAAAAAAACCAGTTCTAGCAGCTCGATCTCGAAGACGTAATTGTACCATATATTCCCTACGCTGTAAATGGACTGAAGGATGAGGTAAATGGGGAGCACAGTCAAGAGGTTTATTTGATTCAGCAGGAGTGCCACCAGGGAGAGAACCATGCCTAAGAGGGGGGGGCGGCAAGGAGAAGGGGAAGAAGTGGAAAAGGTTCAAAGCGTGCAAACCATGGAAGACGTCGAATAATCATGCGATGCGCGGTGGGAGGGACTACCTTCTTCGTAGACCCATCATACGAAGGAGATATCGACCTCGGCTCACTCCGCCTTCTTCGTAGACCCATCATACGAAGGGGATATAGACCTCGGCCCACGCCGCCTTCCCCTCCAACCCACCTATCAACGGCAACGCCGTGAGGACCAAATCGCTCGCCGGGAGGAACCAGAACAGCGAATGGAAGCTCCGAAACTTCTCCCAGATGCCTTCGTCGCGCAGGTCTTGCAGCACCTTCTCCACGTGCTCCTTCGCCGGGGTCAGCCCGTCTTCCCCGATCAGGGCGAGGTTCTAGTGGGGAGGCGAAAGAGGAATACGTAGCGGTGAAAGAAGAATACACAGGAGTGAAAGCATAAACCACATGGATGAAACGGGTCAGTCTCGACAACTCTGCCCCATGGGAGGCTACTGTTCTGAGGCTGCTCCCCTGGGCACTCACCTGCCGCCACGCCACAACGAACGAGAAGAAGCAGGACAGGAGGATTATCCTGGTGCAGATCTGCGAAGGGTGAAGAGGGGGGGTACCCATGTGAGTCATCAGGTCAGTCATGAGGTCAATCATCACATCAGCCATCACCTCGGCCATCACATCAGCCATCACCTCAGTCATCACCTCAGCACTGACCCGCAGCACTCACCAGTTGAGACGTCCAGAAGGTGTTCCTCAGAGCTTTGTTCTTGGACGGAAAGGCATCATCCGTGTCCTCCTGTACGAACACATTTTTTACTAGCTCTTTCAGCCACATCTTAACCTTCCGTAGGCCCCCCTCGTCGTTAACTTCCTTGTCATTGACTAGGATCCGCGCGGGGCCCTTCATCTCAGGGTGTTCCATTTTGCATTGCAGTGCGTGGGAAGTGCGTCTTAGCGGGGGGTTCACTGGGGAAGAGGCGCACTTAAGAAGACATCCCCTCGACGGAACAACCCCAAGTCAGCCGATCGTCCGATTCTGCGTCCTCACCGCAGCACTTCACATATAACCGCACACACACACAACTAAAGACAAAACACTAAAGCTTAAAGTTGCACAACATAGGAGTGCTCTTGCCAGGTGTAGGAAGGAAAAAGAAAAAGAAAAAAAAAAAAAAGAAAAAAAAAGAAAGAAAAAGAGCACCCTTTTATGTGTCTACCTCCTCAGCTGTTATTACATTTTGAGAGGACCATTCCTCCAGGGGTAGTCTAACAGGGCAGAGTCGTTTACTGCACATCGTGCACGTCGTCGCCAACATGGTTGCAAAGGCTCTGCAAGAGGGGCGCACCGAAGTGCTAACCGGGAAGAGAAACACATTCAGCCTCATTCTGTTTTTTCTTTGCTGCACCAAAGGCACAACTTCAAGAGGTACGTTCATGCATGTGTACACATCGTATGAATAATTTCTTT